ACACAAATGAAGAGAAGCATATCCACCAACCGCTACTGCAACTTGATTAACCCGTTGTTTCGTCATTTACGATACTTTTCGAAAATTTAATTTCATCAGCATCAGCCTTTTTTGTCTTGTCCTGTGTACATAGACATAAAATTTAGAAACCCGTGATATGAAATACTTAACATTTAACAAGAAATATAAGTTGTTTAATTCCTACGAGAAATTCAGTAGTCACATAATACAATAGTCTGGTTACATCATTCCTAAAAAATAGATACAAATTATCACAGTCATCTTCTAAGCAACACAATGAAGTCTCAATCCTTAGTTGCATGCTTCAAGAAGATCAGTAGTTTTTTCTCTTGTTCTTCAGAGCCACATACATCTCCCTTGCAGCTGGCTTGTCCATAAGGAGTGTTGTGCACTGGCCAAACAGATCAGGATCATCAACAATTTCATCAACTTCATTAAGGTGCTCCATGACTCCCGCAATTGACGTCTTATAAGCATGTGCTTCTTCTTCTAGCTTCCTAGCATGTGCTTCTGAAATCTCTTCATGTTCACGCTGAGAATCATTTTCATTTGCCTGAGCTATCCTGCTTAGTACATCCGCTATTTTCATAGTGGTAGTAGATTTCTTCTTCATGGATTCACCCTTTTTTCTAACCCCTAATGAGCTACTAGGTCGACTGCCACCTGTGCTTCTACCCCCACGAATGGTTTCCTGTCTCATTCCAGTGTTGCCTCCACTTCCTCTACTATTGTCATTGAATGTGACTGAATTAAACTCCCCACTTATGCCAGTTAGTGCCCTTAAAATTTCATCACTATCTCCAGATCCTTCTTCCATATCATTTTCAGGAACTCCTTTCGCTTGGAAGTGTCATGGAAGAAGGTGCTCATGACTGTGGTCCAGCCGTAGCTACATACCCAAAGAGTTGAGTCAATTCAGCCCGAAATTGAAGCCCTCTTTCTCTAAATTTCTCATAGCCTGGAACTTCCTGCGCATTCAACACCAAAAATATTATACATTATACAAAAAATGTTAACATGGGAGAAAATACAAGCTCAAATAAAGTTAAATGATTACTACTGTTTTCTTCTCCCACCAATCATCAGGGGCACTAACAGTATTCCTTTCGGCATCCCACCCTAAACCTATCTCACGGAGCAGCCTATCCCATAACTGCCACTCCTTTCGCAAGGTATCAAATTTGTTCTTTAATTGGATTCTCATATAAACTCTCCTAGTCTTTGTAGTAAAGTTCTCCTCAATACTTGTCCAAGCAGGCTTTGTCAAGCTAGTTCCTCTTCTTCCCCCTTTTTCAACTTCTTCAATAAACAGGTCAATAAAGACCTTTATGGCTCTTATATCCCACGAAGCTTTGCCATTTTTTTTATTCATTATGCTATAAACCAATTACAATAGTTCAGTCATCACAAGTTCAACCCAAAAAGCATACCATTCAATCCAGGAGATATGATATAACAGGATAGTATTTAACAAGTATAGCCGCGTGTTCTATAATCCAACGGTATACATACACATTAATAATGACTTTTTTTCCCAGCATCCAAGGGAATTCTTTTCAGTTAACTGACCCAATTTGGCTACAACCAACAATCAAAATCCCATACATATTTCGGTTAACCACTATAACACTGCAAAGCAACATCAAGCACAAAAGAGAAAAATTCGAGTGTCCTGTCTCTAAAATAAAATCCACCAAAGGGAAAATAAGATCAAAAAACCCAGATTTGATCAACACACACGAATGCTCTGTCTCTCATACACACATACAAGAAGCACAACCAGTCACAACCGAGATCTTTCCCATCGTATACACACACACACGATTACCATCAAAAAAAATGAAGCCACAACCAGTCACAGTCGGCATTGGCTAAGAAGATCGGGCTTAACTGAAACTCAACATTGTTTTTTGGTTTGTCAATAACATAATTTTCTGTCATATCTGATCGGTGTCAAGAAAGCAACCAACAAAATCAACCACTACAAGTGAACATAGCATAAGCAACCGGTGAAACCAACATCTGTCTCAGAAAAAAAATACAACACTGGACAACCTCTGTTTCAAGGAAAAAAATGACGCTGGACGACCTCTGATTTGGGGAAAAAAGACGATGCTAGACAGAATTTCATAATGCACCAGATCTTCCATCTCCAGCCACAACCAACAAGGAAAAAGACAGCTTACCTGAAACGTTGGATCTGATCGACGGAAGAAGACACGGCAACCAAAGCAGCCGATGACCGGATGAACTCAACACCGAAGATATCAAAATCTGTGAATGGATCTTCTTTTGGCAAGCCCATACCTCACCTCACCAGCACCGAAAGTCACGGGATCAACGACCTCCCTGATGGCAAGAAGACCCGTCGAGCTTCAGAAAGGGCGACGGAGAAAGAATGATATGCGCTTATGTTCTTAGTGAAAATCGTCCAAGCGTGGAGTGTGTTCTTGATTTTTTCTGAATGGGAGGAGGCGATCTCACCGGCGGCAAGGAATTTTTCATATAGCAAGTGGCGATCTCACCGGTGGCGACAAATTTTCAGATTAAAAGGAGGTGACGGCACTGGAAATAAGCAGAATGGGAGAAGAAAGACCATTTCAGCGAGCATATTTCAGAGCCACAGACAAGTTTTCTACCATTGAAAAAGCCTCTCTGATAGGAGTGATAATGATTTCAGTGAGCATTATTTCTTCAAAATCCACAATCTCCTAGCTTATACGAAAACCATGGTTTGGCTGGCCAAAACCATGGTTTTCACCGAAACCCAGGTTTTCCAAAATTTTAGGGTGTTTGGCAATCACCCTTCCTAAACCATGGTTTGGGAGCCAGAAGTGCTTTTAGGGTGATTCCCAAACACCCCTTGAATTTCATTACAGAAGCCCAAGCGGGCAAATGCTTACGAAAAGGCTATCAAGGATTCCTCATTTTCTTCTCGGTACAAGTAGAAGTTGAGGAAGGGATAGGAGAAATCCCAATGGTTAGGGAATTTTCGAAAGTGTTTCCGATAGAGATCACAGGATTACCCCCAGACAGAGAAGTAGAATTCATAATTGACATAGTACCTAGAGCAGGACCAATTTCTAAGGCCCCTTATAGAATGGCTCCTAATAAAATGACAGAACTTAAGAAGCAGATAGAGGAGTTACTTTAAAAAGGTTTTATTAGACCAAGTATGTGTCATGGGGTGCTCTAGTGTTGTTCGTCAAGAAAAAGGATGGTAGTCTAAGGCTATGCATAGACTACAGGGAGTTGAACAAAGTCACAGTTAAGAACAAGTATCCGCTCCCTAGGATAGATGATCTGTTAGACCAGTTGGTTGAAGCCAATGTATTCTCTAAGATTGATCTAAGATCTGGCTACCACTAACTCAAGATTAAGTCTGAAGATGTCCCTAAAACTGCGTTTAGAACCCGATATGGGAACTATGAATTCTTAGTGATGTCGTTTGGATTGACGAACGCACCTGTGATATTCATGGACTACATGAATAGGATTTTTCATCCTTACTTAGATCAATTTGTGGTCGTATTCATTGATGACATCTTAGTGTACTCCAAGTCTCCAGAAGAGCATAAGGAGCATTTGAGGATTGTCCTAAATACCCTGAAAGAGAAACAACTAGTGGCTAAACTTAGTAAGTGTGAGTTTTGGCTTCAGGAAGTCCGATTTCTCAGCCATGTGATTTCTTGAAAGGGAGTGACTGTCGACCCCAGTAAGATTGAGGCAGTACTCAACTGAGAGAGACCCAAGACGGTGACTGAGATCAGAAGTTTCCTCGGACTAGCAGGGTATTACAGAAGATTCATCCAGGACTTTTCTCGAATTGCTCTCCCGCTGACCAAGTTAACCAGGAAGAACCAACCGTTCTTGTGGGATGAGAAGAGTGAGGTTAGTTTTCAGAAGCTGAAGAGGAAGCTCACTTCTACTCCCGTACTTATACTTCCCGATCATTCACAACCGTATGTGGTTTATACAGATGCTAGCAAGCAAGGACTAGGATGTGTACTTATGCAGCAAGGACGAGTAGTAGCCTACGCCTCACGCCAGTTGAAATCTCACGAGGAGAATTACCCGACCCACCTGGAATTGGCAGCGATAGTTTATGCACTGAAGATATGGAGACACTATCTGTATGGAGCAACCGTAGAATTGTTTTGTGACCACAAAAGCCTCAAGTACCTTCATGACCAGAAAGAGCTGAATATGAGACAACGAAGGTGGATAGACTTACTCAAAGATTATGATTTTCAAATTAAGTACCATCCAGGCAAAGCGAATGTAGTCGCGGATGCCTTAAGCAGAAAGACAGTACAGGTAGCATCGCTGATGATCAGAGAGCAGAAGCTGGTAGAGGATTTCAAAGATTGGGGTTCTCTATATCAGATGCAGTTAGTAGAAGGAAATAGAGGTAAAACCCAGTTTACGGCCCTGCTCAAAGATCAAATTAGAGAAGCACAGTCACAGGACTAGCTAGCGAAAATTCTCAAGGAGAAGCTGTCTAGAGGTGAGAGTAAGAATTTTGAAATTTCTGAGGGGATACTGAAGTTTAAAGGAAGAACCTACATTCTCCAAGTATCGAAACTCAGAAAAGAGATACTGGCAGAAGCCCATAAGAGCAAATATACTCTTCATCCAGGAATGACCAAGATGTACCATGATGTTAAAGAACTCTTCTGGTGGCCTGGAATGAAGAAGGATATCACGGAATATGTAACAAAGTGTCTTACTTGCCAGAAGGTGAAGGTAGAACACCAGAAACCTGCAGGAGAGTTGCAACCCCTGGATATCCCTGAGTGGAAATGGGACAGTATATCCATGGACTTTATAGTGGGGTTACCGATGACAGGGTCGAAACATGATGCAATATGGGTAATAATAGACCATCTGACTAAGTCCGCACATTTTCTCAGTATGAATGTAAAGGATTCTCCAGAGAGGTTAGCGAGACTTTACATCAAGGAGATTGTTAGGCTGCATGGTGTTCCAAGCAGTATTGTTTCAGACCGAGATCCAAGATTTACTTCGAAGTTTTGGAGGTCCTTACAGAAAGAGATGGACACCACTCTCAGATTTAGTACAGCCTACCACCCTCAGACAGATGGACAGACAGAAAGAACCATTCAGACATTATAGGATATGTTACATGCCTGTGTATTAGATTTTGGCAGCAATTGGGATACGTCTCTACTATTAATTGAATTTGCCTACAATAACAGTTTCCATTCAAGTATTCGAATGGCACCTTATGAGGCATTGTATGGGAGGAAGTGCAGATCTCCTTATGCTGGACAGAGCTTAGTGAGAGGAGTTCTCTTGGTCCTGACATTGTGGATCAGACTTCCCGACAGATAAAGGCTATTCAGCAAAGGCTTCTAACAGCTCAGAGTAGACAAAAGAGTTATGCAGATACGAGAAGGAGACCGTTAGAATTTGATGTTGGTGATCACGTTTTCCTCAAAGTGTCACCAACAACGGGAGTCGGTCGATCTTTAAAGACTAAGAAGCTCAGTCCAAAGTATGTTGGACCATTTCAGATCCTATCTAAAGCTGGACCAGTGGCCTACAAGTTGGCTCTTGCCCCCTAAGTTAAGTCTGATTCATGATGTTTTCCATATCTCCCAACTAAAGAAGTACCATCCAGATCCCACGCATGTCATAAGCTATGATGACATTGCGCTTCGGGATAATCTATCTTTTGGGGTTAGACCAAAACGAATCGTTGATCAGAAGACCAAGCAACTGAGGAACAAGCAGATTCCCCTAGTCAAAGTGGTCTGGAAGGGTCTTTCCTCTGAAGAAGCCACATGGGAGATGGAAGCTGAGATGAAGGAAAAGTACCCTGAGCTTTTCCACTAAGGTATGTTTTAAATTTCGAGGACGAAATTTATTTAGGGGGGAGAAATGTCACATCCAGCATTATGGTAATTAGAGATAAGAAATATTCTCAAATTATTGAGGATTAAAAATGATAAGGAAAAGTCAAAGGATTTTGGTGGAAAATAATTACAGTAATTTTCCAAGCCAATTATAGGAAATTGACTAATTAAGGAAAATTGGTCAAATGTAAATAAGGAAAAATATTTCTGAGCCTTGGAAAATTAAGGAAAAATAGGGATAATATCCTTTGAGGGTTATATGAAATTATAAAGTTGGTTTTATGGCCAAATTACCCTTAGAGAAATTATAAGAGAATTTAAGGGTGATTTAGGCTAATTAAGGGATTTTATTTGGAAAATTCCAAATAAATATTTTAAGAGGAATAAAATTCCAAGAAAATTCTTATGAGATACCAATGAATTATAAGGAATTATAGAATTAAATGAAGACCCTCAAGTGCCCAAGATTTTTCCAAATAAATGTGAAAAGTGAAAAAATCCCTAAAGAGAAGGAAACTAATTTTCCTTTATATTTAAATATTAGGAAATTAATTTTGAGACAAAGAGGGCAATTTGGAAGATAATAATGAGGAGAATAAATTAAGGATCTGAAAAAAAATAATTACAGAGACTAAGTTACTGTAATTATAGAAAAGAAGTAAAACTCAGAGTCTAAAGTATACCGATAAAGCAAGATTGGTGTCTTGCAAATCCAAGGGATCCTATTGAGCCATGTGTCAAGCTCTTGAAGGAGAAGATTTGAATTAGCCAAGTGTCATTCCATAAATGGAGAGGATTTTGACTTTAGTAAATAATTTCATTTGGAATTATGTTAATTAGGAAAGAGGAATCAAGACTTAGTAAGGTAATGACACTTGGATTATCATTAAAAAGGGTGGTTGAAATATTTTGAGCCATTAATCAACTCTTCTCTCCCCATTTTTAGACCTACATTTCGTCCAAGGGAGAAAAATAGAGAAAAAGAGAGAGTTTGAGAGGAAACAAGAAGAAAGCAAGCACCTTTGATCATCCAAGCAAGGTTTCAAGGTTAGATCTTGGTTCTAGAGGTGCTCTTACTTTGTTTTCTTTCATTTTTATGGTTTAAAATCTGACTCTTCCCTCTCTTAATGTGGACCAAACTGGTTGTTAAAAAAGGGGAAAGGAGTTTTGGTTTTTACACTTGCTAAGACACAACTATACAAGCTAGGTTCTAGTGTTTGCAAGTGAGTTTAAGTGGTTTTAAAGCATTTTTCGTGGTTGTTGTTGTGAGAGTTCTTTTTGGCCAAGAGGTGAAATGGACCCTAGGATGAGTTTTTCATTGTTTTAAGGCTTCCATGAAGCTTAAAATGAGAAATGGTGTAGGGTAGACTAGAAGAAACAAGTGTTGGAAGCTTAAAAGCAAAGCTGAAAATTTTGGGTCAAAACC